GGGCTACATCTTAATATGGAAAAAACTGAAGTTTTCTAGCCTATGGAAGACCCTCGAAGTAGGCTTGTGGGTGTCTTATCCACATAATATTGCTCGACCTTTGCGTGGTGTTAAGTTGCTTGGTGGTCCCGCTAGTTCCGATTCTGGTTTTAGTGGTGAGCTGGTGATGCAGAGGGTGACCAAGACAATTGCGCTTATGGATAAGGTTGCTATGCTGGATGATCCTCAGTGTGAGCTGTTGTTACTTAGAGCATGTACCGGAGTTTCTAAACTCTATTTTGCACTGCGTACTTGTCCTCTAAGTACTTTTGAGGCGGCTTAGCGTACATTCGACGGGGCTCTTCGATCTTCCTTGGAGCGTATTGTTACTGCTTCGGGGCCTGGGTTTGGCGATTGACAGTGGCGGCTTGCCACCTTACCATTTGCTTTTGGAGGGCTTGGTGTTTATGCCGCAGGTGATGTTCGTCATTATGCTTTTCTTGCTTCTCGGTTATAGTCTGCTGGGTTGCAGACACAGATTCTACGGCATGCTGGCATTGTTGGTCTTGGACGAGCCTTTAAGGATGCGTTGCGTTTGTTTAATGGAACGGTGGAGTCTGACATCTTGAGTAATCCTAGTGAGGTCGCTGCCCCTAAACTCATGAAGAAATTAGCAGATATATATTTCACAAAGGTTACCGCTTCTGCGAAATCCGCCTATTCTTTAACTCCTCGACAATCAACATTGTGGAAATCACAGCAGGGAGACCACACCTCTGCTTGGCTTTGGGCGGTCCCTATTTCGTGGTTAGGTCAGACGATGAACACTAAGACTTACCAATGTGTGCTGTGCTATTGGTTGAGTGTTCCATTGTTCTCTATCATGACGCCATGCTCTGCTTGTTCAAGGGTTTTTATTGGGGATATTTTCGGTGATCATGCGGTGTCTGTGCTAGTATTGTGGGCATTAAACATTGGCATAATGTTGTTCGGGATACCCTTGTTGATGTTTGCTACCGATCAGGGATTTCAGCTAGAAAGCAGATGGACATTGGGTTGTCTGGAGGGAACGACGGGGCCCTCAGACCTGCAGATGTGTTACTTTATTCTTGGGATCGTGGTCGCGATGTTTGTGTTGACTTGACAAGGTCTTCTCCTTTGACACAGTCTGCGCTATCTGACTTTGTTCTTGGACGAGTTGTGGCTGATGTGGCCCATCGGAAGCGAGTCAAGTATGAATCCAGTTGTCGAGCAATTGGATATGGCTTCCTTCCTTTCTCTTTCTCTTCACTTGGGGAATTAGAAAGGGAGACTGTTGCATTGCTGAAGCGAATCCAGAAGTTCTCGAAGACTCAGGATATTGGGGCACGTGCTGCTGCTCATATCTTCACTAGGATAGGTTTTGTTGGTTGTATGACTTTGTCTATTTTTGAGATATGATGATGATAATAATAATAATAATAATAATAATAATAATAATAATAATAATAATAATAATATGCTTGTTCTCGGGTTTTTACTGGGGATATTTTCGGTGATCACGCAGTGTCGTGTGCTGGTATTGTGGGTATTAAACATCAGAATAATGTTTTCCGGGATACCCTTGTTGATATCTGCTACAGATCTGGGATTTCAGCAAGAAAGGAGGTTGACATAGGGTTGTCTGGAGGGAATGAAGGACCCTTCAGACCTGCTGATGTGTTACTTTATTCCTTGAATCGTGGTCGCGATGTTTGTGTGGACTTAACAGGGTCTTCTCCTTTGACATAGACAAGGCTATCTGACTTTATCCTGGACGGGTTGTGGCTGATGCGGCTCATCGGAAGCGGGTGAAGTATGAAGCTAGTTGTCGGCTGATTGGATATGGTTTCATTCCCTTCTCCTTTTCTTCGCTTGGGGAATTAGAGAAGGAGGCTGTTGTGTTGCTGAAACGGGTTCAGAGGTTCTCGACAACGCAAGACATTGGGGCTCGTGCTACAGCTCATATCTTCACTAGCATAGGCTTTGCTATAGCTAGAGCAGTGGGGGCTCAGATTGTGTCTCGGCTACCCACTAATTTCTTGTAAAATGTTTGACTTTGTAAGTTTTTGTTAATTTTATAATAATAATAATAATAATAATAATAATAATAATAATAAATTTTATTATTTTTATTATTATTATTATTATTATTATTATTATTATCATTATTATTATTATTATCATTATTATTATTATTATTCATTAATTCATTTCTTTGGTATGTTCAAATTGTTTACAATTCACTTGATTTTTTATTTTTATTATATATATATATATATATATATATATGTTTTTGAGAAAGTTTTTATGTTTTATATTGTTCTCAATATATAAGCAAATACATGAATTGATTTTGTTAAAAAAAAGAAAAAAGAAAAAACATATGCCGTATTCCGTAAATGAAGTCTTTAACATTTTTTGATTTGTATCAATTAAATGAAAGTTTTAAGAATATCATACTTTTATATTATCCCAGCAACGTGATCCCAAACTATGCTAGATCCAACAAGACTGAATTTTTTCATTATTTTTTTTATCCAAACTAATACAGCTAATTCAATGCTATCAAGCTTAAACTTAAATAGTTTACATTTGTTTGAGGTAAACAACAAATACACCCAACAAACGAAGTCTTCTCTCTTACCAACAAGCTAAAACCCAAAACCTCCACCAACTTTGCAACAATCCACGGGTCTGGTTTACCCGATCTTTGATGTATTCATCATCACATCTTTGATACCAGATAACCAGGTATCTTCCTCTCTTTTTTACTTTATATTTTTAATTGTAATTTCGTTGAAATTAAATAATTAAGCTAGTTTAATTCAAATTGTGCTAGCACATTGTAATTTGAAGCTCAAAAAAAGTTTTTCAAAAGGGGTGAGTTTATTTTTGGTGTATAGAGAGCCACAAGGGCGGGGTGAGAATCGATCTCAGGATCTCCTGGAATCGAAGGGTAGTTCTAACCACTTGAGCTATCCCAGGGTGAGTTTAATTGCTTGCAAATTTTTTATGTTCCATCTCTAAATTGTAACTTTTGAAATTTTGGTAATGTGTAGGGTTTAGGGTAGATTTACAATATCTATATATAAATTATATTGGAATTCGTTAGAGGGCGTCTAATAGGTGGGAATGAGAGTTTTCGGAAATTGAGAGTGGGATGAATTAGAACTTAGAATGTTGTTGGGAGTTCATGACCATATTTTTCATTTCTCAAGGAGTGTTCTTTTTAGTTGAGTGTATTAATACTTTCTCCATTTTCTAAATATTACAATATGGGATGAATTATGGATTAAAAAAAAAGAGAGAGATAGAGAGGAATAAAAATAGGGCTCATGTGATAAGGAGAGAAAACATGTGCACATAGGAAAATGTTGCAATATTTGTGAAACTTCTTAAAATGATAATTGTTGTAATATTTATGGAATGGAGGAAGTATAATTTTATAAATTATTATCATGTTTTGTATGAATGACGTTTTATAATCTTGTTGTACATTACAATTAAATTATCGATCTAGTAAGATCTTATAAAATTCACATCGTTTATGATAGATTATAAAACCTATTTTGGTGTCACAACTATTAGATTATACTTTTGGTTGAGTTGGTTCTTAAAGTCAACGATCCGAGAATAAAATTATTGTGAGCGGGCTATGGACATGCATTTAGTTAATATATTCCGCCAAGCTCAAAATGGCACGAAAAAGCCCGCTAGGGCTAGTCTAAATTTACGGGTTTTGGAAAAATATTTTCGCGCTGAGCCATGGCCCGTCCCGACCTTGTGGGCCAATTTTTTATCATTTAGCCGACCCGAATTGTTCTTTAATATGATCACCACTACGCTAGGCAACCATCATGAATTCATGATAAGACATATGAGGGAGCTGATAGAGGATAAAACCTATTTCTAGATATCAACTATCAACTTAAGTTTTTGGTTGATCCTTCAACAATTTAAAATGTATTTCTAAAAAATCTTATTATCACCTCGTCCCATAATTTTTTTTTGAAGAAATCTCTTCCCATATAATAGTGCAATTTTTCTTTTTCTAGGTGTCCCAAAATATTGTGTCTATTTTTTTTTTAATATTTCTATTTATATTTTAAATTAAATAATTTAACAATAATACACCTATTATGTTTTCCTTAATTTTCCGTGTGCCTATAGTGATAGGCTTTACAATTATAAGTGTCAAGCTTTCTTATCGTGCTTAAGCTTACCAATCCCTTATTGTGTCCCTTAATTTTTGCTCCTTATTCTTATTAGGAGTGAAAGTTCAAAAAACTTTTCCTACATATTTTCAACAATCTATAAGAATAAAAAAATACATTAGATGGATCTTGTTAGATTTATTGTATCATGTTGTTTCATAATTTTTAATTTTTTTTAACTACTATTTAGTTTAAGATATCAACGGTCAAACTTGTTCTTGAGAGTTTAAAGTAAAAATGTAAACGGAGCAAACATTAAAGGACGCTGCAGACAAGGGCGAAGGGGCCTCCACCAGCCTAGATTTGTAGCCCATGTTTTTTTTTTATCTTATGGCCCCCCTAAAATTATTATATATATTATTAAAGACATATTAGTAACATCAAACATAGCTTGTCATGTTGGTTGGCTAATTTTTTTTGATTGAATGGAGGATGATTTTCTTAGAGATGTTTTGGTAGTATACATAGAAAAAGAGATTGTTGTAGATTTTATTGTTGAATCTTTGATTGATGATTTTGCTACTATGTAAAATCGTAGTGTACGATATAACTAATTTGTTTTTAATAACAATAAATATTAGTACATTTTAATTTTTTATATCAATCTGTTGTCTAATAAATCCGGCCCCCAGTGTTGAAAATCCTGGCTTCGCCCGTAGGAGTATTTATCCAACACACTCATGTCATGGGACATGCATGCATATTTTCCAAAATAAAAAAGAATTCTTTACTATGTCTCAGTGATAATAAAATGTTCCTATGTCTTTATCTGTTTTCAGTAGAAGTTTACAAGAATAAAAGTTGGACAATGGCTTTAGCAATACCAATACCAGATAAATTGCTGAGTTTTCTCATGGAAAAGGTTGTTCCTGTACTACAAGCTGAGACACAAAAGTTTCAAAGTGTCCATGAATTACTAGATGACATCAAGAATGAAATGGATATCGCGAAAGATTACTTGAAAAAGGCCGAGGTTAAGGTTGACAGAACAAATGATCAAACAAAGGAGCAGCTTAAGAAACTGAGTAATTTACGAGCATTGGTTTTTAAAGTTGAAGATATCATTGACGACTATAAGCTGCTCGAATCAACTCATCAAATAGGAAACCAACAAGAAGATGGCAAAGGGTGCTTGGTGGGAATCTGGAAATTATTAGACCGAGGTTCTAAGGAAGTCGACGGGTTTAAGGACAAACGTGGGATTGCTTGTTCAATTGTAAGGATTAAGTGGGCAATGGAAAAGATAAAAGGAAATGGAAAAGGTTATGAGGAATCGATTTTTACACTCAAGGAAGAACTAGGATTAATCCTACGTGACCCCGGACATTGTCCCCTTTATAAGGATGAAGAAGATTTTGTAGGGTTTAAGAATCGTCAATCAAAAGTGATTGAGAAGTTGGACTTACAGAATAAGATTTATGGTAAAGGACAGTTTGTGTTAGCTGTTTGGGGTCAGCCGGGACTTGGGAAGACGACACTTGTTCAGAAAGTGTATGAGAAAGAGAATGTTCGGAAGCATTTCTCTTGTTATGCTTGGATCACAGCAACCAAGCCTTACAAGAAAATGGATCTTCTCAAGTGTTTAGCTAAGCAATTCATAACCAGCTCGAATGCTGCAGTTGTAGACGACGAATCTGCAAGTTGTTTGAAGGGATTATTACAGGATAATGGTGTTTCTGAAGTGGTTATAGTTGATGGTTTAAGGAATTACCTTCAGAAAAATCATCCCAAAAACAGGTAATCTCATGATTGCTCTATTCTTTTTACACTTACATTTCTTGAACAACTTGTATATGAACAGAGTTGATATTATTCAATATATAGCTCTAATCTTCTTAATATGGGAAAAATTGACAGAAATAATTGAGCTCAAATGCAACATAACCCCAATTTTGAATTTATGTACTTATATTCTCATCAGTTCTTAAATATGAAAAAACGATGGCAGAATAGTTGAATATGCTTGTATATAATTAGCAATTTCTTATTGTATATATATAGGTACTTGGTGGTTATTGATGATGTATCGGAAATGGAGGAGTTGTCTAAGATCATTAAGGCCACTTTGGTACCGAGTTGTAGCGAAGGTGGTAGAATTTTGATGACAACAAAGAGTGAACGCATTGCTAATTACTGGAAGACTTCATCTTCGTATGGTGAAGCCTACAACCTCCAAGTTTTATCTGAGCAAGATGCTAAGGTTCTGTTCAATAAGAAGGCATTTGGAAACCAAGGAAAGTGCCCTCGAAAGCTGAAAAGTTTAAGGGATACAATTGTGAAAGAGTGTGATGGTTTGCCTTTCTTAATTGAGAAAGTTGGGGCAAATTTCTCGACCACCCATAAATGGATTGAGTTGTACCATGATTTCCAAATCAATCCTGTTTCGCCAAGCTGGAGCAGGGAAGTTTTACTCTTAAGCGGCTACCACGAAATGCCTTATCATCTTAAGCCGTGTTTTCTATACTTGTGCATGTTTCCTAAAGGTTGCAAGTTTAAGAGAATGAGAATAGTCCGCTTATGGCTTGCTGAGGGTTTTGTAGAAGCCAAGGATCATAACACTCGCGAAGAAGCTGCTGAAGAATATCTCAATGAACTTGTTGAAAGAGGTATGATCTTGAAACAAAATGTTAAGACTTAGAAGTACGTTTTACCAAATCCAAGTAGCTTGCCGATGAGTAAAGTTCAACAAAAGTAATTATAGTCGAACAAGAATATTATACATTTAAATATATCTACAACATAAACAAGTTAAATAGGCAAAAATATATCTAGCTCAATTGTAATTACATGTTCAATAGTTTGATAAATAATTGTTCCGTTGCTAACAACAGATGCTTGTAAAAATATATCTTATAGGTATGGTTCATCTTTTGAAGAGCGACGAAACAGGAAGAAACAGGACTCTAATACTTCCATGTATGTGGCAACATATAATGGTCCCAAAGTTGGCAGAGTTAAGTTTTTGTCAAGTGTTACCACAAAATAGATTAAGTACAAACAATCAATGTCGAAGGCTTTCGATTCACAAGGATGCACCAAACACTGTCATTCCCCAAGTGTCCGTTCAATCCTTTCATTTGTCCGCCTCGAAAAATTTCCTATTTCATGGTCATCACCATTCCAGGAAGCTGAATTCCGGCTAAAAGTACTTGACCTTCAAAATGCCAAGTTTTCTAATGTCCCGGAAGTGCTGGGAAAGTTACATAACTTGCGTTATTTATGTATGAGAAACACCAAGGTTAAGAAGCTGCCTGAATCTATTGGTGGACTCTGGAACCTTCAAACCTTAGATCTCAAGAAAACGGATGTAGTAGAGCTACCAAAAGGGATTAACCGCCTTCAGAAACTCCGACATCTTCTCGTATGCAATTATAAAGACGAAAAGATGGTACCAGTAAGGATACACGAAGGCGTGTTGAATAATTTCAAGGAGCTACAAAAGCTAGCATTTGTGGATGGAAGTTCGCCTACTCTAGTGCCTGGTTTGGATACGCTAAAGCGATTAAGAAGGTTGGCAATCGAAAATCTAAGGCCGGAACACGGGAAAACATTATGCGAGGCATTGCAAAACATGACACAACTTCGATCTTTGAGTGTAAGTAGTATTGAGATTATTGATGATGTTCAAGTCAATGATGAAAATGTTCTCAATTTGAGCCACTTAATATCTCCTCCTGAATTTCTCGAGCGGCTTTACTTAAAGGGTCCTTTGGTAGGAAAAGAATTGCCAAAATGGGTACATAAACTCAAGCATTTGGTTAGATTGCGGTTGATAAACTCCGGGTTTATGAACGATCCACTCGAAAAGCTCAAAGTTATGCAAGAGTTGCTTGTGCTTGAACTTGATAATGCATATGATGGTAAGGTCTTGGATTTTGGGTACAAAGGATTGAAGAAACTGGTAGTGTTGCGCATCATAAGGCTAAGGAGATTGAAGACGTTAAAAGCTGGGGAAAATGCTCTTCCAAAGCTTAATGTAGCTGAATATCATACCTGTTACAATCTAGAGGATATTCCACCTCAAATTTTGAAAGCAAGTGATACGTTGTTAAACACTCGTGTTATGAGTCGTACCAAATCTTCTAAGTTCTAAGAAACAAGTTTATTGATTTGTCTTTCTAGATTTTATTGATATTGTATCTGGGTTGATGATCAACTAGATTAGTTGGTTAGCTGTTTGTCAAATGGGCCTATTATATGAAAAATGAGGAGATTGTTATTAAAAAAAATATGTACTTGTGGGTAACGACTATACCATACTATAAAAGGTGGTTGATAATAATGTCTGTGTAGTATGTCTTGATTTAGATCAGTGTCAATTTATATTTTCTTAAAATCGACTCTATTTATATTAGCAGACATAAAATTCGAAATGTTAAAATTAAAGGTGAACAAATAAATGAATTATTGAATTTGAAAGTCTAACTGGCTAATACAAGAGGGGGGGTGAATTGTATTTGAGGTGAAATCTAAAAACTTTTTGCGGAATTTAACTAAATGAAATAGTGACGAGAGAAGATATAGGCTTTTCTAAATTTCCACTAAGTAATCAAACTCTTTACAAGTGAAGATTCAAACCCGTTAACAAGTTCCCCAAATTAGGAACTTGTTCCCAACTCTCACAGAAGACTTCAGCAACGAAGCTTCCTTGACCTCACTTTACAAACTCACAATCCCAACCCCTAAGTACTTGAATACAATCTGTGATTACAAATACCTATTGCACTCAAGAATATATGAAGGAAAATAACTCTCTTTATGTTATTAGATGGCTACTGGAATTTTTATGCTCAAGAGTTATGTTATTCTGAGATAGTTTGCATGAGTATTTATAGAGAAGGCTTAGTCATTAACCTCCACCATAATCACGTCCACATGTCAACAACCCACTAACAACTTGTGGAGTTATCTTGACAGATTGTGATCATGAAGAGGTTTCCTAGCCTTATCTAATTAAACCACTATCCTAACAACTTGATAACCATTAGCCGTATAAAAGATTTTCTCACAGAAAAACCACTTGCTAACTTTATCAAATATTTATTTAAAAGATTATCAAAAGGTTGTTTAAAAAGATTTTATTTGAAAAGATAAATTTATTATTTATTAAAACAACTAGATAATTATCTTCGATAATTATCTTTATTAAAACTTTTACAAATTATCTTTTCTTTAAGAAATTATCTTTTAAAACTAACTTTTATTCCAGTAGTCTTTAACATAAGTCATTGAGTTCCTTTCCGACTTTATATTATTGAGTGCTCACAATTAAAACTAGAACGTGAGATTTGCACGAGGCTTTTTAAAGAATGCTACTCCGCATCCAAGTTCCTACTCCGGAACGAACTTTGCTTGAATCCTTTATTCACCAAAGACTCAAAACATTCATTAGTCGAGTTTGTCAATTTGTCCATCAAAACCAAAAGGCTCAACAAATTCCCCCTTTTTGATGATGACAAACATTGACAAACTTAGGTAAATAAAATCATCCAGGCATGCAACAAAAATTTAGAGTAAGGCATGAAAACAAAAAAAAACAATTAAAGAACTTAGAAAAATATTAAAAAGTATTTTTTTTTTTTTTTTTTTTTTTTTTTTTTTTTTTTTTAAAAACTGAGCAAAAGAAAAATTAACAAAGACTTTAAAAACTGAACTTGGCAAAAGTTTGTACCTTCGATGTGTGAGTTCCTTGGTAAACACTTTAGCCGCCATGAAGTTTGTCTTTTCCCCCTTTTGGCATTATCAAAAGATTGAAAAAAACATTTTGCTATACTCCCACTAGACTACGTAGGGAATAGTGAGCTCAAATAATGCAAGGCAAAAATAAGTTAGGTACCAAATTATCAGCAAACACACACAATCATATGAAAAATACGAGCCAAGTTCCGATTTAGGAAATAGAAGAGGAACATAGAGAATGTAGCAAAGGATAAAGGCGTACAAACCAAAGTTCAGAGAGATTAAACAAAACCAAAATAAAATTGTTCAACATATGAAATTAGAATAAGTGCAATCAAGGATTTAAGAGGCTGCATTGGTAGGATCAAGGGTTGGATTTGTGGGATCAATAGAGTCTTCCTCGACTTCCTCAAAGGCTACTTTGTTGATAGTTTCCAAGATCTCCTTGTTGCCTTCACTAAACTTGCCTTCAGCCTGTGCAAGCTTTGCCTCCACGCCTGCAAATCCGGTTGCTTGAGATTCTGCCAGAGCCTGCACCTGGCCTTTAAGAGAAAGCAATTCCGAGGCCATTTCCTCCAGTTTCTTGCTCACCAGAGTAGTCAACTTCTCCATATCTGCTTTAACCTGTTGAAAATCATAAACAAACACACGAGTTCCAGAGAAAGCAGCAAAGCCAGTAGGCTGAAATGGAGGAGGAGAAGGTGAATGAGAAGGCTGCCTAGTAGGTGAGACAGGAATAGAAGAGGGTTCAGTGGAAGAGGGAACTTGGGTAGGGTTGAAGGTGGAATCAGATTTGTCTGAGGAGCTGATGGTTTCTACAGTCACAGGGTGTGTAGTAGAAAGGGCAGGCTTGACCACATTCCTCTTACTCCTTCTAAGGCCCCCTGTAAACACAGGAATGACAGGTGGTCCAGCTGTGCTCTCAGAGTCTGTGGTATGTTCCCTCTCACTTTGATCAGTTCCCTGCCCCTCATGTAAGTCAGATTGTCGAGCTTCCCCCTCAGAAACTTCCATATGTTCCCCCTCAGAATCTTCCTGTTTTTCTCCTTGCACATCTCCCTCAAGTATTTTTTCTTTGTTTTTCTCTCCGTTAGAACTTTTTTCTTCTTCCTTATCTCCCTCAGAATCACTGGAGGTGGTAGCACCCTCACTAGCCTCCTCACTACCCTGGTCACTGCTTGCATCACATTCTTCCTTAGCTTCTTTCCCTTTCCCTTTCTTTTTCTCCCCTCCTTTCCGAGGCACAAAACATACTTTGCCATTTGTAAGCCTAAGACTCAGTCTAAGTAATGATTGTTCAGAGAGGATATTATCGGGTTTGAGATATGTTGGGGATTCACATTCAACATCAATACCAAAAGATTTGAACAACACAGTAAGGAAAGAGCCATATGGAATTGTGGTCTTTTGAGCATAAAAATTCAAGTGTTCAATCATTAGAGCAGGGAAATTAATCTGTATTTTGCATGCAAGACAGAATATGAGGGAGGCATCCAAGAGTGATACGGTACTCCGTTTTTGTAAACGGGGTACTATACCCTTCCAGGTGAAGGTAAACAGTAGCTTATGAAGGGGTGTTAGGGCATGATGGTGAGTAGTTTTCACTTTCGTATTTCCTCCAATAAATTTAAGGATTTTGCATTCATCATTATGGCAATATTTACAGATTGTTTGTGCTTTAAATAAGAACAATAGCCTTTAACAGGAACTTGAAATAGATTTCCAAGATAATTGGCATCAAACGAAATTGGAATATCATTAACTACGGCCGAGCACACACCATTATCACATTGAAAGGTATTTTTGAACTCATAAATAAATTTAGGATAAACAGGGTAATGAGAACAATTCTGGAACAAGTGAGTCCATTTTTGATAATCAATTAAAGAAGTAAATTCAGTGAACTTACTCGCCACACACCAATCATTGTTGATGTGATATCCGAGAGTGTAATTCCATGATGGGAATTTGGTGGTTGCGCGCCGTTTCCTGTCGCCGCCCTTCACAGCCTTAGCCTTCCTCTTTGGCTGAGCAGATGGATGCACCACCGCAATTGGCACCGGTTGTGGAGACCCCGTGTTTGAGGAGGGTTTGAATGGTGGTGATCGGGTTTTTGGGGTGGTGTTTCGGTTGGTTTTCATGGTGTTGAAGATAAAATGAAGGGAAGGAGAAGATGAATAGTGTGAATAGGAAGGAGAGAGAGTGAGGCCGGTTATGGGAGTGTATGGGGAATTTAATTGATTTGATAGGTGAAGGTGGAGTGAAAAGAAGAAAAAGAGTTTAATGGGGAGGAGTGAGAAAGAAAAGTGACGGTTTAAACTGTGAGGTAGTGGGGTAGTTTTAGAGGTAGTAGGATTTAATTTGGTGAAATAATTGCACTCATCTAATTCAATGTTGATAAAATAAAATCGTAAGTTAAGAAGTTGATATACATGCTTCTTATCTTACGTAGCAAATAAGATCTTTTTGTATTTTTGA